GCTCCATCTGTACAGCAACCTACTTCATCCAAGCATGGTGGATGTGGGGCTTACGTGAGTTTGTTACAAGCCCCGGTGTGGTCTGGCTTGGGACACTGAGTTGCTGTCCTTTCTGCACCTCAGAGCATCCTTGCTTTGCCCTTGAGCAGCATCGGGCCCATTCCCTGCCCAGCACGGCGTCTCTTCTTCCTGTTCTACCACCGTCCTCAATAGTGGCCCGGCCCGTGACTCTGTCCACAAACCGTTCAATGGCTTGGTCTCTCTTTCCTGCTGGGTGTGGGGTTCATTGTCTTTCCCGAGATTCTGAGGGACAGAGGTGGCCACTATGGACACCACAGGCCTGAGAGAGCCCTGGGCAGGAGGAGACAGCAAGGGAACAGGCCCTGAAGAGACAGGAACCCCCAGACTCCTTCCTGAGGGGATCCCATCCACGAGCATATGCTCTTGTGGGTAGAGGCCGGCCTGCAAGTGGGAGCCAGCAAGGGCTGTCCCAGGAAGGGGCTCCCGCCCAGAAATCTCTGACCCCCCCAGCCTGCCCATTTCACAGGAGGGGACACTGAGGCCCAGAGGAAGCAGGAAGTGGCAGGTCCCATTGCTGCCAAGGCTGCAGAGTCAGCTCTGAAGTCCCTGTCTCCTGCTTCATGCATCTCCGTGGTTACCAAGCTATAGCCTGAGACGCCAGGGCCAGAGCTGCCACAGTGTGCCTGACCACAGCTGTGACAGGGCTTGAGGGGCCAGGGGCTAAGGAGGGCTTCTCCAAGACAGTCATGTTCCCACAGCACTTACTCCCAGGATTCCTGCCCAAAACCAAGGGTGGGCTCTCTCTGACTGGGCCCTCACCCCAGGAGCCCTCACTGGAGCGTGGGCGTCCTCTGATCCTCCAGCCCTGGCTCTCACTGCCAAGTGCCTGTGACTTTGACCCCCTTGACCCATTCTTTCCCTATCACACACGTGACCTCTGGCCTTGGGCTCCTTCAGGCCCACAGGCACCCGGCCCTGTCATCAGGGGCCTTGGATCCCTAACCTGCTGCACACTGCTGCCGCCGGGGTGGGATCTGCTCTCCTCTGTTGCCCTCCTCTGCTTAGATGACTGTTTCCACTTTTGTATCTTTCTTCCTCCAAAAAGTAGCTGATTGTGACCCCCACTTCACACTTCCAACCCCCCTATGGCTCCCCACTGCCCTAAGACAGAGACCACAGTGGACAAAGCTCTGTCTGGCTTCCTCTTCTGTGTCACATGGCATGCAACTCTTTCTCATCCTCATCCCAGGCCATCCCTCATCTCTGTCCCCTCCCTGAGTTACCTCAGGGCCTTTGCACTGGCTGCTCCCCCTCTTCTCAGCTTGGCTAGAATGACTCATCCCTTGCCTGACTCTGCCTCCTCTGTCCCCGTTGTTCCTGGAGGCCAACTCATTCCTGGAACATCTGGGTTCTGCTAGGATCAGAAGGGCCAGGCCCAGGTAGCTTCCTCTGCAGCCCAGGCCTGACACAGCCCACCTGCACGATTTGTTGTTCTTGTACTTTGGCCAAGAGCAGCTGCTGTGGTGTGGGTTCCGGGTTTGGTGCTAAAAATACCCCATGGCTCAGACAGGAAGGGCCAACAGGGACACAGCTGCTCCTGGGAGGGGCTGGCTGGAGTTGCAGCAGAGGCCCCTACCATGGTTGGTGGGATCATGTGCTGAAAGGGGTGGACCCCGTGCTCACAGCCCCCCAGAGAAGGGCCCTCCGGTGGAGACAAGTGCTCAGGTCCAGCAAAGGCTGCAATATGTCATCAAGAGCTCCAAGAGGGACATTTACCTTGTTTCTGATTCTTCTGGTTTGTTGTCACCAGCATGGATAGCTTTGGGAATAAAACACATAAAATTGTCAGAGCCCTAAATTAAGATAGGTGAGCTCGGGTCCCTTTGGGTGATCAAGGGGACTTCCTGGAGTAGGGAGCATTTCTACTACCTGCCCTTCCTCCCTCTTAAAACATCTGGGGTGCCGGGGAAGAAAATGCCTACATGAATGACCCTGAGCCGAGGCAGGCCCGGAGGAGAAAAGCTGAGGCCTGGAGACGAGGTGGTATTGGTGTGAACACTGGAGAGGCGGAAGGGACCGGAGAGTCCCGTGGGAGCATCCAGTGAGCCATGGGTTAGGGTGCAGGACGGGCACCAGGGGACGATGAGGGTCTGTCCTTGTGTGTGAGGCTCTGAGGAAGAAGGCAGCTGGATGGCATGCGGGACCTGCCTGTGGGCACTGGCAGAGCCTGGGCAGAAGATTTAGGGCTCATCTGGAGCCATTAGTCCTGAGATTCCTTGCTTTGAAATAGAGACAGTGACAAGGCCAGGGAGGGAGGTGGTGTGAGGAGCAGAGCTCACGGCCTTCCTGTCATGGCCCCAGGCCCTTCTCCTGTGCATCCTCGGCACAGAAGGCGTCCAGCTGCCAGCAGGTGTTACACCTGCCAGCAGCGCCCCACATCTTGAGACCCCTGGAACTTGAGGTACTTGAAGCTTCTCTCCATAAATAACTTTCCAGAGGGGTCCAAGGGTCTAGGACAGTGGACATGGTATCTTTGGAGTGGCCTGTCCTGGGCCTGAAACTGGAAATGGAGGTCTTTCCCAGCCCTGCTCTGCCTCAGTTTCCCCATCTGAGGATACCCACGGTGCTGAGAAGGGAGCATCTTCAGGGGAACCCACCTGCTGCCTCCTGGGGGTCCCCCTAGGCTTCCTCCCGCCCAGATTGGCTGCCCCCACCAACCTTGGGCTCCCTGCCCCCAAGAATGTGCTTCTGGGGGCCCCCAAACACAGGGAGACAGATGTCTCTCCGACAAGGACAGCCCCTCCCGTTACCCTGAGGGGAGGGGGAGGGGGGCCAGTGTCGCTGAGTGTCTGCAGGAGGAACACTCACCTTCCCCAGGCCCAGTGAAACCGGACCTCCCTCCGCCAGCCTCTACCAGCCATGGTGCCTGCCCTGGCGGCAGTCAGAGGCCCTGGCTCCCCTCGGCTGCCTGCTGCCTGGGTGGGATCTGCCCTCCTTGGCCCACCTCCAGTGTGACCTCTGGCTGCTTCGCAGTTAGACCAAGTCCAGCCGAGGAGGCTCCCTCAGTCTACCCCCAGCCCCCAGTGCTCAGCTCTCCTGTGGGATCTCTGCCGTCAGGGAGTAACAAATCAGACACAAGTCTCCTTCCTTCGGTCCCCCCATCCACCTCCCTGCAGAGCAGGGTTCCCTCATCCCCCGAGACTCCACTCTGTGTACTTGGGGAGCCCTTCTGCTCTTGGCATCCGCCTGAGACAAGCTTCTTGGCCAGTTCTCCCTGGCCAGCTTCAGTCTCCTTGGGGGACCTCAGGACTCTGTGCAGAGCTGCGCTCACCGTCCACACTGATGCCCAAGGCTAATCCCTGCTGACAAAGGCACATCTGCGTGGGCTCCTTTCTCTCCCTCCTGCCTGCCCTCATGCTGGTCACCAGGGACCTTGGCATGGATGTAGCCCACAGTCCCTTCCTAGGCCTCATCTCCTCGGGTGTCTCACTGCCTTAGGGTCCCTTCTGCTCTCAGCCTTCTGGCTGGGTTTGCCTTCTCTCCAACAGGAAGGTCACAGCTCAGGCCTGGCTCCTTCTACCGTCTACTTGCATCCCTTTGGCCGCTCTGCTCACACAGACTCAAGCTGAAACCGCTGCTGACCTGCTGCTAACTGAGACCCCACTGGGCTGGGCAGTTGGCCATCCTCGCCCCAGGGCCACACTCAGGTTTTTCCACACAGGTGTCACAGGTGCTTCAAACTAACTGAGGCCGGAACAGCATTTTCCAACCCTCCTCCCTCTGCCCCCGCGTTCTCCAGCTCTGTAGTGGTCACCACCCTTTGCTCGCTCAGGCTCTGCTCACACTCACGGTCGTGCTGCAGCCCTCACTGGCTCAGTGATTCCTCTGGCCATCTGCTGCCCTCAGAGCAGACACGGGTCTTTCCAAAAAGTTGCAGTAACATCTGTATAACAACAAACTTGTCCTGACCACTGTTAGGCGCCCTGCTCGGGGTATTAAGTATGTTCACGTTCTCACGAAACCCTCACCACCATCCAGCCCCAGAGCCTTTTCATTTTCCCAGACTGAAACTCTGCGCCCATTAAACGATAGCTTCCCATTTCCTTTCTCATGCACGGGGAATCGTACAGGACTTGTGTTTGGGGGTCTGGCTTATGTCACTTAGCGTACTGTCTTCACGGTTCAGCCAGGCTGGAGCACGTGTGAGATTTCATCCTGTCAAGACTGAACGTTTCATCGTGTGGATATAGCACGTTGCGTTCACTCACCTGCGGTTGGGTCCCTGCCCTCCCCCTTCCCCCCAACATACAAGCGCTCCTTCACTGGTTTCTCTTTCAATGGATGAAGTTCTCTCTTTCACCAAGTATCGAGGCCCTTTGCAGTCTCCAAGCAGCCTCACCACCCTCACGTCCCACCTGGGGCTGCAAGGTCGGTCCCGTGTCGTCCACTGGCACAGTGGGGCCCCCGGAACACCCCAGATAGGGGCTGGCACGTGTGAGGGGGACCTGAGCACTCGTTCAAGAGCCTCCTTTGCTATGGGAACGGGGAACGGGGTTGGATTCTTAGAGGGGAGAAGGCCGTGCCGTTGTCAGCGCGCTAGGAGGCAGACTGCAATCAGACTCCGGTTCCGCCCCGCGGCCCCGCTCCGGTGCCCCCTCCCCGCCCCTTGGGGCCCTGCAGTTTTTCCGGTCTCGCTGCTCCTGGCTCAGGTCTTTTCTCCACTAACGAGGTAGTCGTATCGCCCTGGTGGCCTCGTGGGTCCTTGCTATTTGTCCTCCTCTACGAAGATTAGTTCCTCATTGGCCACAGGTTCTCCCGCGCCGTAACAGCACCGCCACGTGTTCACTCACAGGGCTTGCCGATTGGCTAGCGTCGCAACCCGCCCCCGACTCCCCCTTCCTCTTCTCATTGGCTCACTGAGCCCAGGGACCTACCCCGTCGCCCGGGTGCTCTCCACCTCGGACGCTGATTGGCCTAAGTAAGGACTGAGGGAGGGCTTGGAGACTGCGCTCGGAGGGAGCTAAACTTGGCGTGCAGGCTGTCAAGTCAAGCGTGCCTGAGTAGGTTCAATGGCGTGGCAGGGGCTGGCGGCCGAGTTCCTGCAGGTGCCAGCGGTGACGCGGGCCTACACCGCAGCCTGCGTCCTCACCACAGCTGCCGTGGTGAGCGGGGCAGGCGGGGCTTACAGCCCCTGGTGGGGTTCAAGGCATTAGGGAGGGTCGCCGGGGTCACCGCGTGGGTGCCAGAGACAGCCCCTGATTCCACAGCAGCTCGAACTCCTCAGCCCCTTCCAGCTCTACTTCAACCCACACCTCGTGTTCCAGAAGTTCCAGGTGAGGCCCGTGGCCCCTCGCCCCTCCCCCGGCCCCTCCGGTCCGGCCCCTGACCGCCCGTCACCTCCCCGACCCCTGCAGGTCTGGAGGCTGGTCACCAACTTCCTCTTCTTCGGGCACCTGGGATTCAGCTTCTTCTTCAACATGCTCTTCGTGTATCCTGTGCCGCGGGGACTCGGGTGGGCGGGTAGGGGGACGGGCCCACTGGGCTGGGAGTTGCCGCCAGCGGGGAAACTGAGGCCCCACGCGGACGGCATTTCCTATACCATCGCTGCAGCTTTCGCTACTGCCGCATGCTGGAGGAGGGCTCCTTCCGCGGACGCAAAGCCGACTTCGTCTTTATGTTTCTCTTCGGGGGCGTCCTTATGACAGTATCCTTCCCTCCTGCTCAGGAACCTCAGGCGTGGCTCCCCGAGGTTCAGCGAGGGGGAGGGGGAGGCCCGAGGCCCCATATGAGCGCTTAGGCTGAACTGAGCAGCTACCCTGCGCTCAGCTCCAGGGGCCAGAGATAAATCTTCAGTGCTGCGCCCAGAACGCAACAGGGAAAGCGCAAGACAGCCAGGTGGGGCAGGTGGGGCAATGAGCCTTCAGTGCCAACAACCGGGACAAACGGACAAGGAGCGGCAGTGGTCGGTTCCTGGAACGAAGTGGGTAGGTGGCAGGCAGATCACATGGGGCCTGAAGGCCAAGGGCTCATCTGGATGGAGAATGGGCCTCACAGTAAGAAAGGGAGCCCCCTGGAAGGACGCCTGGGGCTCAGGAAGTCAAGAGGCCTTGGGCTCGGCTGAGACCTGCACCATGGCACCTTGACTCCTGCCCAGCTGCTGGGACTCCTGGGCAGCCTGTTCTTCCTGGGTCAGGCCCTCATGGCCATGCTAGTCTATGTGTGGAGCCGCCGCAGCCCTCAGGTGAGGGTCAACTTCTTTGGCCTCCTCACCTTCCAGGCACCATTCCTGCCCTGGGCACTCCTGGGCTTCTCACTGCTGTTGGGCAACTCGATCCTCGTGGACCTGCTGGGTGAGCCTGCCTGTCCCTCCTGCCCACTCCATCTGGTCCCTCCCTCAGGACAGGCTGCTCATGCCCCAGGGCCCCCTTCCACCTGCTCAATCCTATCTCTTTTTGCAGCCCGTGGGCTGACAGCCCCTCACACGGCCAGCAAGCTGGTGCACAGGGTCTGCATCAGAGGGGCTGATCTGCTGAGGCCTGAGTGGGTCCTGTGGGGGTGGGATGGACTGGAGGGGTTCTTCTCCATGGCTCCTGCATCCCAGCGTTCCCTGGGCCTTCCTTCCCCAAGTCTTGCCTGCTTCTGAGCTCTTTAAGCCTGTCCTCCAGGGCCAGCCCCGAGGTTACTCTAGGCTGTGCAGGGTGGCAGTGTGTTGCTGTCTTACAGGGATTGCTGTGGGCCACATCTACTACTTCCTAGAGGATGTTTTCCCCAACCAGCCTGGAGGCAAGAGGCTGCTGTTGACACCTGGCTTCCTGTGAGTGTGGGAGAAGGACCCCCCCCCATGGCTTCCCATCTGTGAGGACCTGTGCTGGCCTCAGCTCAGTGTGGGTCCCTCGACAGGAAGCTGCTATTGGATGGTCCTGTGGAGGACCCCAATTACCTGCCCCTTCCTGAGGAGCAGCCAGGACCCCATCTGCCACCCCTGCAGTGAGCCTGCCCTGGACCAACACCCAAAGCTTCCAGTAGGCTCCACTTTCCCCCCTTCTCTTGCTTACAGCAGACCAATCTGTCCTGGAGGCTGGGTCCATACAAGAGCCCACCTAAATAAACAGTCGCCTGCAGCCTCTGGGCCCACAGCCTTTGTTCCCTATTTTGGCCGTCACATCTTCCATGCCCTTCCAAGTCTACCCTTTGCTCTTGCCCCCTTTCCTCTCAGCCCAGTTGTAGGTGATAAGGCAGGGGGCCCAGACAGGGCAAAGAAGCTGCCCATGGATACCCAGCAAGGCTCTGATCTCACAAATGACAGACACAGAGTTCTTGTTCCAGTCCTGCCACTGCCATGGGGGACTGACCCTGGGCCTTGTTTTCTGGCATTCAACAAAGAGGTCGGTTAGATCAGCAGCTAGGATTAGGACCAAGCCTGTTCTAGAGATGCTCCTGCCTGTGATACCTTTGGAATGATGCCCACCCAGCCTCTCTCATCCTCATTGACAACCTTGCTAAGTGGGCTTTCGCTTCATTTTCCAGCTGGTGACCTGGAGGTCCCATGAGGTCAGGGGCAGAGGAGAGCCGGAATTGGACCCTCTGCCCTCTGTAACCCCAGAGCCTTGAGAAGTTTCGCCTTAGCAAGTCCTGTGTCTGGCTAAGGCAGTCTCCTGGGGAGCTGTCCCTGCCATTTAAGCTAGCCTGTGTGAGCCTCTTCCTCCCTCTCCTCCCCTGAACATGGGTATTATGTGGGGCCAGCTTTCCTTGTTGCTCTAGACCTGTGCACACTGGCTTCTTCCGGACGCTCAGTGGCACAGGGCTCCACCAGCCAGTTTTTTTTCCGGTACAGTTTCTATTTTGAACTCGGGACCTTGTCCTAGCAATGCAGGCAGTGGCACCAATGAGCTAAAATCCCCAGCCCTACACAGTTTGTCATTTTTATGGTAACAAAAATGTCCTGTGAGTCTGACCTCAATTTTGTAGTGAAACCTGGTGAAACAACAGCTTCAGTGTAGGCTGCAGTACTTAAAGGGCACAGAAACAGGCAGGACCTGGCAGCATCCTATCAGTTGCAGCAGAGGGCTGCTGCGTGCTTCACGGATCAAGCAAACCCTTTAGCAACAGAGCCTGTTCCTTTCCAAAGCCAGTGGCCTGGAATCTTCTCCGTTGCTTAGGGTCTTCCCAGAAAGCCTAGCTGTCCGTTTGCTGTGGGCCTCTGGAAAGTTCTACTCTGACAGGCAGAGGCCCCAAGAGTACACTTTCTGGGAACAGTTCTTGGATATGCTCACAGTGGCAGGCTCCCTGGACCCTGGCAACCAAGAGCCCCGATCCCTACTCAAGCCCCAGCTCTGCCCCACATGGGCTAAAGTTGGACACCAGGTTGCACAGGGCCCGTCTCATGCTCCCGGAGGAAACAGTCTGTGACCCTCAGCCCTTCCAGCAGCCAAGAGTGGCAGCAGCCTAGTGCTGGGGTGTGGAACCACTGTCTTCAGGAAGAGGGGCCCTGTGTCCAGTTTACCAAGTAGCTCTTGGCTCAGCAAAGAAACCCACATGTGCCTAAGTACATTCTTCGAAGTACACACTTCTATAGTACAAACAAGGACACGGGTCAACAAGCTCATCAGAAGCATAACTGGGAAGGGGTTGGGCGCTTGCTTCTCTGCACCATACATCAACTCCGAAAGCCAGAAAGGGCTGTTTTCATTTTCCTCACAACAGGTCTTGGGAGGTAGCAGCTGGCCTGGGCCACAGGTGTGGATGGAACCCATCAACCTGTTTTGTGTGGGCTGCTGCAAGTGGAACAGGCTGCCTTGTATCCAGGCTGGTGACATCCAGGCAGTGCCCACGTGGCATCAGGCCCTCTGCCTGCCCAGGACTCCAGAGTAGCAAGGCCCCTGGCTGGTGGCAGCTCATTTGAATATAGCAAGGTATCCCAGGGGCAGGATAAGAGCTGGCAGGTCCTTCCCATGCCCAGGCAAAGGGACAGAAAAGGCTGTCACCGAAAGGGAGGGGGGTCCCTGCCCTAGGCCTCATGGCTGCCTCCTTTCTCCTCCTCTGCAAGTACTTGTTCGGCCGGTGGACAGATGAACAGCTCGAAGGCCCAAGGAAAAGCAAGGATCAGGTTCTACCTCAGGGGCCCTTAGGGTGCTTTCTGGGTAGAGTCAGAGAAGGGTGAGGCTTGGCATGCCAGCCTTGGTCCCATCACCCCCAGGCACACCTAGCTCAGGACCACTCTTGACACGAAACCCCACTCCAACCCCGTGCTCAATTCTGGGGAACAAACCCGGGTCTCTCTACCAATGAGCTACACCCCCAACTCTTCATTCTTTATTTTGGGGCAGGGTCCTTCTAAGTTGCCCAGGCTGGCCTTGAACTTCTGAGTCTCCGGCTTTAGTTTCCTGAAAAGCTGAGGTTATATAGGTGTGTGGCACCATAACTGACCTTTCCCATTATTATTATGCCACCACACTCAAAAAACTGAGTATGACCTGTTGTTGCCTTTTATTTAAAAAGTATCGCTAGCCCTGCCTGGGGCTCCTATACAAAAACATAACACAACCCAAAATGAGACGTTTTCCTGACCCCAGACACTGGGGGACGGTGCTGCGAAGAGGGGGACAGGATTGGGGCTCGGCAAATGGAATGTATGTTGGGGGAGGGCGACCTGGAGGTCCCCCAACACCTTCTACCCCCACCCCAATCTTCGGATGGCACTAAGCTGTCCCCTTGCCAGGAGAGGAAGGAGAGGGGTCCTCCAATCTTCTGAGCCGCTCCATGAGAGCTGAGCATTGGTGGGCTGGTCACCAGGCTGGGGCAGTGTTGGCGAGGCGCCTCATCCGCCTGAAGGAAGGAACGGGAAGGGGCCGGTCAGCTGCAGCCAGACCCAGTCCTGGGCAGCTGCCCTCCTGCAAGGCTCTCCAGAGCAGCCAGGTGTTCCCCGGACCCCCCAGGCCAGCAGGGCCACTCCCAGCCCTCTTAGCCCTGTCTGTCTGCTGTGCAGGCCCTGCGCATCTCTTCAGGAGCATTGACACCTGCTCTGGGCACATGACCTGAGACCTCCTCTTGTCCTCTGTAGGGAAACTCACACTGGAGGCCAGATAAGGCCTTATCACCCAGCAGCCCGCCTTTGGCAAGGCAGGTTCTTCCCCCAGCCTACAGTCCCTGGAGAAAGACGGCCCTGCTCCTTCTTGGGAAGATGAGTGCTTGTGAGCAGAGCCCAGGCCAGGGACAGGTCACCTTGTATTTCTGTCCTGGTCTCGGATCTTCTTCTCCATCTCAGCATCAGTCAGGGTCTCTAGCAGCGGGCACCACTGGTCAGCATCACCTGTGTTCCGGATGGCAATCTCTACCGTGGGCAAGGGGTTCTCACTGGTGAGGGGAGGCAGGGAGAGAGCAATGGCCAGTTCACAGAGCAGCAGCTGTAAAGTCCGGGGAAACGGCTGCTGCTTGTCCCTCCACCCCAGCAGATGGATAGGGCAGGTGGAAAAGCCCAGGCCCTTCTCCATGTTCCACTGGCCTCTGTTGCAGCCTTCCAAGGCAGCCTTAGGGACAGGGTCAGCTGGGGGATGCTCCTGTAACCTGAACCTCCAGGGAGTAGCCAGAGATGCTAGGACCTCCCTCAGCAACAGCGCTGCCCATGACCCCATGGCCTCCCTTCAAAGCAATTCTCAACAGGCCCTTTGTCTGCCGCCTCAGCGTCACCATGTCTGGGAGACTGGGCCGGGGGTGGGGTGGGGTCGGGTCGGCGCTGGTTACGAAGGTGACTCCCCCTGACAGCAGTGTGGCTGGGCCGACGCTGTCACTGGAGCACAGCCAGAGGCAGAGGCCTTTCTGCCTCACTCAGTGTCCATCAGGAACTACTTATTAAGGAGACAGTTTGGAGGGGTGAAAGAGCAATCTGCTCTACAGATCCTGACACCCCCAGGCCTACTTCACAGGAGAGGTTGGTCCGTCTGCTCAGGACCAGACAGCTGGTATGCAGAGAGAGAGATCCAGAAACCATATCCCTGGATCACACTCCCCGCCGTGGTCCCTCAGACCACCCAAGTCCACCCCAAGGAGCCATGTGGACCTCCCCTGGCCACGTGGACACAGCAGTGGGAGTGAGACAGCATGGGCAAAGGCTCTGAGGGAACAGGGGACGCGCACAGGAACACATGGAGGGAGGGATGTGGCTGAGCCACTGCCTCTTTGGAACACGATTTCCAAGTCTGCCAACAGGAAGCTAAGGAGGTTCCCACAGGAGGCACTAAACCCCTGACCTGACAGAAAGCCTCAGAACAGGCCCTGGCCATGCTCCTACCCTTCTGTCCCATGGTCACCACTCCAGCACTGCATGCTCCTTTTCTCCTCTAGCTGGGCAGACTCCTTGTCCCCTAGGGCTCAGTCCCCAGACAAAGGCCTCCTGGCTCTACCAGAGCACTGAGGTACGTGCCCACTTGCATGTACCGCCCTGTAGCACCTTCTCAGCTCTGGAAGGGCAGACAAGGTCTCCTCGACACTGATGGGGTAAAAGAAGGCGTGTACTTGGCTGGGCTTCCTGAGTTCTCACCTAGGATATGGGTCAATATCTACTGCTGTCAGGGTGGTTGGATAATTTTCATTTTTTATTCATTTTATTTCATTTTTCATTCTTCATCTCTTTTGTGATTCTGAGGATCAAACCCAGGGCCCCACACGCTCAATTGTTATCAAAGAGTCAACATCCATCCATTGAGGAAGCTTTCTATGAGCCAGGTAACTTCTCACATAGCTTTCCTCAAGGTTATGGGACTGACTGGCTGAATAGAAGTGTCGCCCCAGGTGGGACAACAGAGCTTCACTCAGCACCTCACTGCACATGCCCTGCAATGGCATCTAAGGGCCCTTTCTGGCTTAAGAAAGTCAGGTGGGCTCTGTGCTCCTCAGCTTTGGGGTCTCAGGGACTCGGCCCTGATCAAGGCCAGGGTACTGGGTGAGACGGACACTACAGATCAGAGCTGCCTTGGCTTTCTGGTGGAAGCAGGCCTGACCTCTTCCTGCTGAACCTCAGCCCACAACATCCACACCCACAGGGCCCAAGAGGCCCGGAAGCCCAATCTTATGCTGGTGACTCAGACACCAAAGACCTGACAGCTCCCACCCCCTGTGGTCCCCCAGGGATGACTATTCCTCAGCA